TTAAAAGACGCAATGACAATCTTGAATGTGAGCTGTGTAAATATTGCAATATTTACCTAAGTGATGCATGGTTAATGTCATATAATTGTGCAGGCATACGTCATAAGACTGCAAAGTTGTAAATGCTGTGACATATTAATGACTAATAAATTATGATAAACTATCTATGTTTTTGTGTACGATGGATAACCGATGTCGAACGACGAAGCCTGCGGGGGTTTATAATTTATAATGGCGCCGCGGATGTTAGCAACGTCAGACTACGCGGACAACTATTTGCACGACGGCATTGGTTTCTCATCACCATGAATAGATACCAATGAGATGTAATAAAAGGTTATTACGAGTTAATACCTCAAAGTATGCACGAAGACAGTACAGCTGGAGTATCGACCGACGCGCAGCGGATATCGATGCGCGGCGTACTGTTCGAGTGCATACTTTGAGGTATTCTCGTAATAACCTTATTATTATACATCATTTCCTTCAAAGAATACATCATGGGAATGCCGAAATCCAAAAATTTTAGAACAGAATCAGCGAACTTCTTTGTGTGGAGTCCGGTCAAACCTTACGCTTACGTGCATAGTCATTCCATATTTAGAATTCGCATTTCTAAATATGGTAGGATAATTATATCCCGTAAAATACCGCAAAATTACGACACGCTGTAACTTATGGCGTTACGGTGACAGATTTTAAAATGTTCGGTACACCAATGCAATGCGAGTATCTATTAGATTTTTTACCATAGCTACAGATGGTCATTGCAAACTAATTTGCATCTTTGGCGGAGGTTGTAGTTTGCGTATTCGTTCATCTATCAAAATGGCGACAGCCATTACGGTTGTCGGTGTTTTATATTGCCTTGTAGCCACAATGTTTATAATATTCTCCTAAAGTAAAAATTTTACTCATTCTTGATATTGTGTACTGTACAAGGCTGGGAAATGATAGATTTTAGCACATAATAAACTGCAAAACATAATTCATTGCTACAGCTATGGGCAAGATACATCAACTAAAGTCATTTGACTAGGAGTGGTTCAGTTGTAGACACCTTACAAATCAATCAATCCTAATAAATGCAGTAATTATCATTGATTATTTGTTTCATTTTAATTGAGACAGGTCAGTAAGTCGTCAAGCATAAATGTATGTAGTACATAATGTTACCACTGTATAACTAATAAAACTAAAAAAAATTCTCCAGTATCACATATTCATCCTTACCAAATGACTTCTTTTTATTTGCAAGACACACTTTGAAATTACCCTTTGTTTTTTTCCAATGATTGCAAAGAAATACAATCTTGACTACACATAGGCGATGTGAGCATTCGAAGAGCTAGACTATGATTAAATATAGGCAGATTTGGCCAGCAATTGACAATTGACTGGCCAGCAACCTCCTGTAGACAATTGACTGGCCGGCTTGTACATCGACGAGAACAGTGTTCCATGATTGGTCAGAATACACTAAGAATAAGTCTACTTTTATTCAGCATATGGGAAAGGAGACTAGTTCATTGTTGTTGTTTGAGGAGGCGGTCTTTCTGTGCGGTATTTTCAATCACCGTGACGTGATACAACGTTGACCCTACTTCTTCGGACGACATGCTGTGGAGTAATAACAGGTTAACTAAAGACGAATTTCACAATAGCTGCTGTGCAGATAAAATTCTGATCAAGTTGTATTTATTTCAAAAGAGGATTAGAAAAGTGCTCACAATTCACATTACAAAAAGTGTGAAATACATTCGAACAGCGTGTTACATCCGCACTAGCAACAATAGTAACGGAAATTCTAAACACAGATAAAAAATTGGTTTCAGTTCCACGTGCGTTTTTTTTTTTTTTTTTTTTTTTTTATCGAAAATTGTTTAGTATAATTGTATTTATCAGCGACCGCGTTGCAGCTGGTGAATTTATGAATTTCCTCACTGCGAAGTTTAAAATTACATGACTTTGAAAGTTTTAGTGCGTTGTTGAAAGGGTGCAGTTATTTTAAGCACTAATTTTGTGAAGTAAATGTGGACCTCGCTTCCCAGTGGCCATTGTCAACATATGGTGGAAGTTAGTGAATTACTTGTTGATGGGGAATAATGTTATTCGGGACCCACATGAGGACCCTCTCGGCCCATTCCAAAATCGCGCTCTCATTCGTGAATCTGTTTTCGCAGGCACATGCAACCAAACTAACGTCGCTAAATATAATTTTAATTAGGTAATAATTTAAGTACAATACCAACCGTTACTTTGATCTAAATATTGTATTTATCATCTGATCATCATTTGTCAAATGTCCGCCTTTAAATTGGAGAGAAGGCATACGCTTAGTACGACTTCGATTTCAAATTCAGATGGATGCAATTGGATATCCGGTGGCGTGATGAATAGTGTCAGGTGATGACGCAGATATCAACGGACACAGCTCCTTGAGGCATCGGATACTCAAATCCTGTCTCGCCACTTGAGTGCTTCAAGTCAATGCCAGGTATTTCACGCTACCGTCTCCAAACAAGTTTAAATATTGTATTATTCTAATTTCTACTTATTGTTATTAACGTAAATACATATTACATTATTGGTTTATCACTAAATCGAAATGTGTCGTATATGAGTGTGTAACACTGGATTGATGATGCCGAGCGGGTGATTGCAATTCTCTAACTCCAAAATGAAGACGTTGTACACTGTAACCTCAATATAATGAACACCGTTATAATGAATTTCCTGATATAATGAACACATAGTGTGTCTCCCGCTCACAACAAACCCAATGTAATATGTGCTTCATTATAGTGAACATTTCACTATAACAAACTAATTGTATGTCCCCCAAAGAGTTCGTTATAACGAGGCTACAGTGTATTCGTATATTCCTGGACTAAAACTACAACCACACCAAATCACCTTAAACCCGACTCTAAACCACATTCCTCGACAGTACAGTGGTGTAACTTCGTTTTTTAATGCGCAATAAAAATAATGGTGATCATAACTATGTCCAATTTGAAAGGTAAAATAAATATTTTGTCTAATACGTCCAACATTTATTCTGTTCTCCTATGTGTAACCATAGTAATCATGTCATGTGATCGCGTCACAAATTACAACTGACGATAAACGCAAGCAATTTATTCTATATAGTTCGTTATATTACGAATACCAGTTGCCAGTCTAGACGTGTTAACCTCCAGTACTGTATACTTCGCTCCCCGGTAAAAGTTGCTCAAAGCAAACATTTGTTTCCATGGCAACCGGATTAATGCGATATCATTTCACTTCAAGTACTTTATTCTCCCTGAAACGTACTTAACTAATTTCAATCGCTTTAGGGGAGTCAGTGAATCTAGCGGGAAATACGATGTGCGCTCAATAGACTGGCATATATCATAGACTGCGCACCTCAAAGCAAACCGGCTTCGAATCGAAGAATTAATTGGAAATAAGTGATCGTCGAGATAACTTCCACAATATGTAATTTTGGTTCAAATAAGATGAAAAACCGTGTTGTTATTTGGATTATCTTTTAATATCGACAGAAACTATATTAGCACGCACCAAAGCAGTGTGTCCATATGGTACTTGTTATATTTGTATAGTCGCATTGTGGGTGGCCAGTAGATTCTGGCTTGTTCATCATTTGAACCATCATTGTTCTCAGTCACTGAACTGATAAGACTGTCATATTAATCCAACAGAGATCATTCAATCTGTCAGAGTTGAGTTACTTCATCAACACCGGGACTTGACTAATCTGTTAGTTATTCTTGTGACAACTAAGAGACCCACTCCTGTGAGGCGTTGCTTATAAGGTTGGTATTTCTACTCGTTATACGTCATTCTAATTACATAAAACTCTAATATCTATTTATTAGTACAAATGATAAATCTGATTAAAGACTCGGGTTCGACGTCACTTACTTTCAATCTTTTTATATATTACATATTTCGTTAGCGTGAATGTTAATTGTATCAATGCCTCAAAGCATAATATTAATGCATTATTTTTATTTTATCACTCAAAATTAACATATTCAAACATATTTTTGGTATCAACCATAAACCGAAGCTCTTCTTCTCATTTGTAATTTTTTGTGACATTTAATAATATGCTGTGAGAAGTAGAAAGCTGTCCGTGTAGTGATTTAACTAATTCATCAGAGGTACAAAAGGCGGCATTTAACCTGTCATAATTATTAATACACGATTATACTTTCAAAGAGTCGTACAAAAAAAATCAAGTTTTACGATGAGTTCTATGTTGACAATGAGGTTCAGCATTCATGGATAAACCATAGATATGCACTGGGTTTTAATTTGCTACAAGCATCCAAGCCAAATAATAGCAATAATTCATCAGTTAGCATTTCAACTTGGAATGGAAGAACATTTTTCACAAAACATGTAGTAATCTCTTCCAATATGAAATAATTCAATTTGTATGTGTCTCAAACAAAGTTTAAGTTTAAATTGAACGCTGCATAGCGGCGTGTAAGCAGTGCAAGGAACATATGATGAGCTTTTAATGACGTCATTTATAAAGAATTAGTAGTTTCGCTTTGTTTTATTGAAGAATTGAGCATTTTGTAACGTCATAATCTCGTCGTTTTCATAAATTACATTTCATCAAATTACGTTACATTTGAATTCACAGTGTTTATTTATTGGTGGTATTGACGGAAAGTCACTAATTCTACGTAACATCGTTGTGTACAGAACATCTGTACACCAAATTACACTAATTCACGGAAAGAAGGGGTATGTAAATGTAGACACTGGAAAGACCATTACTAGATCACTAATTGAAATAGATGTGAATGCTCTTATACATTCACAAAACGTCAATAATATTTATTACGTAATGTACATACAATACTACGATATTGTACACATAGTATTTAAGCCAAGACACAACTCTCAATATTAATTCTATGCTAATATCCCCAATCATTTTATTGAGACATGTAACCAAGTAACGTCTATACACAAGTATCTCAATATATCTACACTCATATTTATTTCTCCTGTTTGTCGTTATCTGCAAGTGACACGTTCATTTACCTCGTGTGTTTTTTTTTACTAACTCATTTTTTACTTTTAAATTAAATGATGAAAATAAAATAGGAATACAATAGGTGTTTTATAAGATTAAACAAAGACCACATTCGTATTGTCAATCCAATTTATTTGAAATACTTTTCCGTCCAAGCCAAGATTTGTATTTTATATTGCATAATCAGTCCCCTCATTAATGTTGTTATATGTAACCGGAAAACCTGATACGTCTGTTAAGCCTAATTATTCATTGCGGCTGTAATTAAGATAGTATGATGTAGTTACAAACAGTAATTTACGTCCTGCCATATGGAACAGTTCAGCATATTTCACAAAACATACAAGGTGAATCCCCTAGATTGGCATATTTCAATATGTATTGTAATAATTCAATGAACCGCATGTTGACAGTAAACCAATACGTTCACTAATGAGATTCAGTCATCTGTCATTAATATTTTTCACTATAATTAATGATTCGAGTTCGGTTATGTATTGAAAAGAGCAATGTAGATTTAATGAGACTGCAAATGTTGTAGGGATGTTGCAGGAAGATTGTAGGTGACTACATTGGGGAGGATTTCCACTATGGCAAGATACCGACCTATTTGTTAGATCACATTTACCTTATTTCCAATCACATGTCGACAAACATTAAGATTGTGTTTAGCAGCTTGACTGTTAATTTAAATGCTTAGTGTTGAAAAAGTATTTGATATTGTTTGCGCACATAATAATCATGGACACCTCGTGGCTTTCTAGTGCAATCTCCGTTTTGACAGCTTCCCCTTTACGTTTCAACATTGCTGTTAAGTGGACATAATACCTGTATTCGCGCTAACACCTCTATTTCGCGAAATTTTGTATTTTATTTAAACTACAAAAACAAATTATCGCTCAACTGCGCCAGTCTAGCTGAACCTTTTTTCTCACACTTTTTCCCGAAAGGTTTTCATAAAAACCATTTGTTTTCTATTTTTAGGCACATATATCATCCAACAAAAACTGCAAACTGGGAAATTTGATTAAAAAAACTCATTACCGGCAGACATATTTAACAAAACAATAATTCTAGCAAAGTTGCAAATAGCTTACACTTTCAATCGTTGTACACTGACTGTATTTTGAAGGGACTGCAGACAGGAGCTGATGTTTACGGACGTACTTCGGGAGCCCTCGGGAATGTTCGAAACCCGTCTGTCCTAAGGTCATTGTTTAAAATCGCGTCACTGGAACTTAAAGTTGTATAAGTGTTCGCGAAGTCGATGATTGTTCAGCGGAAGTAAATGAAATTGAAAAATTCGTGATTGAAGAGAATATATTTTGTCTCAAACCCGCGACGCCTGGATATTGGCGAAAGATGTACAATACCGTTAACGACAACAAAAAACTCGAAAACAGTTCAAGTTTCCGTCGTCTACTGCATGCGCGGAGTACTCTTGAGAGACATAGTTTTAACACCATTGCAAAGATCGTAAAGTAGACTTCAATTTAAACTAACATACGAGTGGGCCAATTTGGTGCAACCCTGCGAAGACAGCAGTTGAAATAACCTATTAAAATTCCTAGAAAAAAACACAGAAAAACAACATAACTTACTCGGTCGATTTTAAAAAATCAAACATGAATAAACTTGTCATAACAATGGCATTCCTTCGAGACGCATCGCGCAAGTAAATTTACTCTCATTCTCGTGAAAGACTGCATATCTACCGAGAAATAAAAGGGCCCGCTCAAGGACAGTGAACGCCAGCGTCGGAAATGATCATGGGATTCAAAGGACAAGATAGGAGGATCAACTCGACTAGAAACAAAGGAAATTTATAGGCTAAAACCAGTTGTAACTCCTTCTGTCTTTTACCTCCATGCTTGGATGGGTGTTGCTCACATGCGTATTACTTACATGTTTGTTACATAGAAGCGTGTTGTTCTTAATTTAAGAAGGCAGATTTATTTTAACTACATATAATTTTGACAAAATTATTGCACTTTTATATATTTATCTTCCAATGCATCTTATTCATTTTCACACCGAACTACCTTTATGTTGATTAAAAATAATATATATTTACGCTTATTTTACTTTTAATTTACCTATAGTTTTATGTGTTTACCACATAACTTTGTAAACCAACACATACAACATATGTGTTTGATGCGCTATAGACTCCATATACCAGCATTTCAATTGATTGTATACGTCATTCTGATTGGACGAGAGCGTTTTTTTATTCGGCAAACTACATTGTCATTAAAACGTTGTTCTTCTGATCAATGGTGCATGTCAGAAAACCTCGGATGCATTCCAATTCTGAAAAGCAATCATATATTGCCTATCTTCAACGGTAAAACGGAACGTAAAGACATACGTGTAGATAGAATTTTATATTACATGAGTCATTCTTAATAACTAGATGTTTCTGACAAATTAATATAGATTATTTCAGTCGTGACCTATTATTTGTTTTTCTAATTAACAGTTGTGCTTTTGCACACTTCATCACATTCTGTAGTTGAAATTAAGTTCGATTTCAAAATGATGTCATCATAATATACCGACTAACAATTCTATGTTATTTAATTACAGATTTCTAGGATTGACAAAAAATTATGTTTGACTTCAAGAGTTTTATAGTTGTGTGTATGTGTTTGGTACTGTGGAGAGGTGCAGCAACAGAGGAATTCGAGGTGAGAGTTATGTCATGGTACACAAGTATAGTTAGAGCAATTATGCCAGGGTGTACGAGAATAATTAGGCCAGGATGCACTGGAACAATTGGGCCAGTGAACACTATAATACTTATACCAAAGTACAATTGAACAATTAGGCCAGATTACACTAGAACACTTATACACGGTACACGGATATACTAGAATAATTAAGCCAGGGTACACTGAAAACAATGTAGCCAGGGTATACTATTGTCATGAATTTGTTTTCGCGTATCTGTTGACCGACTTAATTAGCTGATTATTAGCGAATTGCTGTGTTATGTCTGTCACCATTTAGGCCATGTGAAGTTTTGGACGGAACTCGACTCAGTGATTTAGAACTAATTACGAGATAACCGTAGCTATTCGGACTATTAATTCTGACAGTTGGTATTTGTAGTTATTAATGTAGTGAACGATTAATCAAAAGATATGACGTATTCAGTACTTAGTGTGATTGGCTTTATGATTGAAGGTTACGCCCTAGAGTCTTTTTTCTGCTTTGTGATTGGTTAGAGTTTTGAAAATGAATAAAGAGAGTTTTAGTTGGTCTTGGCGAGTAGCCCAGGACAAGTCCAGCCCTGGAGAGTCCTGGGGCGAGCCTTGAGGCAGTCCAGTCTTGGACAGAGTCTTGGGTCAGCCTTGCGATAGTCTTGGGGACTTTTCCCCAGGGCGCTGTGTCTTATAGAGTGCTCAAAAGATCGACTAAGACGAGAGTTGAAACGTATTTCGTTGTGTGTGTCTTATTTGACTGTAAGGCTTATGTAACTTCCCCGATCCCGTACCTCAAGGGGACGAGATATAGAGACGAGACGAGATTCCCCCTGACAAGTGTGGAGACCCCAGGGCAGAAGAAATTCCCCCCTGATACTATAATACTTAGAGCAGAGTACACTAGATGAATTAGGCCAGGGTACACCAGGGTACACCAGGATAATTAGGCCATGGTACAATAGACTAATTAGGCCTTAGTACACTGGAACAGAATCCTGACTTGATTTAGGTCATATTGAACGAGTAGGTGCGTGTTACATTCCACATGAGAATGTTTTATAGTGATGTTCTTCAGGGCCACTCTAATTTAGCTTGTATACTATTCCACTTAATAGTATTATAGAACACCATGAATTATCATATTATCTGTATGACATGTCATATGAACCATACGTTAAATTGATGATCAGGACTTGGCTCTGACTACTCGTAAAGATTATGTCAACATATGACCACAATATACTTAATTTACACTAGATTCCCGTAACAAATTACATATAACATTTTGCTGTTGGTAAAAGTTTACACGACGAGTTCCCAAAGTATATTACCGAAATGTTGTCCTAACACCTGTCACTTCTGTGCACTATAATTTCAACTCTATTTGTGGTCTCATGTCACGTTTATGGATAGCATTGGCAGTATGTGCACCACACATGTGGAGGTAAGAAGGAAATATACATCAATTCTTTCAGATGTTGCGACATATGTACAGATCTCTGTATGCAACAAAAACATTGGTTGACCTATGAACTCACTTTACAGCAACTACTGGTTAATTACAATTATATACTATTTGTATATTTCAGGACGAGTACGTGGTTATTGGTGGCAACAACATGTTGGTAAACAAGCGTTCTGTTTCAGGTAAAGTATTAAACTAAGGAATATCCTAATATGTCACGTGCAACTGTAAATGTCACGTGCTAAATCGAAATCCCTCTTGTCAGCCACTAAGCAGTTCGACATGTTGGTTATACTTAATATATTGTGCATCATTTGATTCGTTCTTCAAACAATTAACTATTTAACCGATTCAATCATTCATCTTTCCATTTATTCATCCATCCATCCAAACATTCATTTATTCGTCTGTACATCCAATTATATATTCATTTCCAGAATCAGAACAAAAGGAAATTGTCAATTTGGAAGATAAGCAGCTTGATTTTGCAGAGAATCCGTCATCTGCAGTTGAAATATCGAGTGTAATATCCGAAGATTTGTATAGTATCGCCGTGTGTCTTTGGTTTAGAATTGATCAACCACAATTTGGCCCAATATGGACGTACAAACGACCCGAAGACGAGTTCATTCAATTCGGTCTCATATCTTTGACCTCTGGTCCGCCAAAACCACTCAATTTCAATTCCCTTCTGTCATATGATCAACCAAGTTCGATGGACGCTTATGACCAGCAATGGCACCACATGTGTGTTAACTGGGACTACACTGCAGGCCTATTACAGATCTACATAGACGGTAATAAATTGGAAGACAAGACGTTTGGTGGTCAAAATGGTCCTATATCTCCTGGCGGAACAATTCGTCTGGGTGGAACAGATTTGACGTTTCAACTATCTGGTTTCAATATTTATAAAGAGTTTGTAAATGAACGTACTGTGGCTACCTTGATGACGTGTTATGGTATTGGTGATGGTGACGTATTCTCGTGGGTTACCGATGTCGCAGTGTTCCCTGATCTAGTTAAACCTGTTGAGCTATTCTTAGGTGAGTGTGAACCACTTGTGAATCTCACTGTTAATGAAAATATTATGCAAATTAGTCATCATTTCTTGAACTTGTGTTTTCAGTTTGACGGGAAGGTTCGAATTTAAATAGCTAATAGTTTTTTTCTGTGAAACTTTCACACTATGTCGATGTCTTGTGTCTAGGATTGTTCTCTTCATGTACTCACATAAGTGTGTTAGACAAATGGACACAGATAACCTAGATTTTGAAAAAAACGCATTGAAAGTTCTATTTTTAAAAATGAGAGAAATGAGGCTCATTTATTATCCACCGACTCAAAAATAATGGTAAATATTAGAAACGTTACAGTTCAATTTAAAAGAGAATTAATTAGCCGTTTAAAAAACGTTGGAACGATGCAGAGCCATATTTTTATTAAGAATACAATATACGACATAGTGAGTTTTTTACCAGGCACAATTGCTTCTTTTACAAATCACAACAAATGCATTTGAGGATAATAAATTATTTAATTTAAGTCTTGCAACTTTATTTAGTGCAACATTCAGACTACAGGTGTAAATTGGTAAGTAATTGGTAAGTAATTGGTAAGTAATTGGTAAGTAATGGCTTCATATTTTTGTCCTGGAGCTAATACAAATGTATTTAAATAAGAAATATTTTAGGAGATACGTAATTTACGGCAATACTGATGTTGGTATTTTGATATTGACGATAAAATGAAATCAATTTACTCAAGCCAAATTAGATGAGTAAAATAAAGCTTTGTAAACAGTTTTTCATTATTCGATATTTTTAATGATTTATGATTGTCAAAATTAGCCCACCAAAATTAGCCCACCAACTTTAAAATACACAACGATGAATTATAAATATATTGGTAAAACAATTGACGATGAATTTCACTTGTGTCTAAATCAAATTAAAATTTGAATTCACTCAAATAATAAAAGAAATATTAAGCTTACAAAATAATAATTTTGAAAAGAACGTCGAATGTAGAACGTTATTTCGTGTAATTGAAAATAGTATTACTTTGCAATAGATAGCGCGAGGCACCTGTGGCGATGGGCAACTCGTTGTCGGAAAAACAGACATGACGGTTTTGTAGGTGTCGTTGCCTGATGTAATTGGCGACTCAATTACATCATACACACGAGACAGCTCGTGAAAAAAATGCGTCGCCTCTTATCGATTTATGTAACACGGCTCTTAGAGCAGATTTAATCAATGCGGGGAAGGGCAATTTGTGTATTAAACGAGGACCAATTGTAGGAAAGTGAATCACACGATTAAGACTAAAACATCACAGTTTTTCTTGATCGGTACAATTATGTATCTTGTAATATATTATTTGACAGAAAACGAAATTGGAGCGGTATGCAGTGAATGTATGAAGTATGAGATATTCCCAACTGCTGTCGACTACGACACAGCGCGGGAAATGTGTGGGAACAGAGGAGTTCAGTTCAACAAAACATCCACACTGGCCGTGCTTGATACTATATCTGCATATCGAACAGTTAGACGCGCAATACTTGCTGATGAAGAATTGGGTAGAGGTGTCAAAACGGGGTATTGGATTGGATTGGCAGTACACAACAACAGCTTTGTTTGGGAGGATGGTACTTTGCTGGATGCTGACCTTTGTCGGAAACAATGGGCGTCAGGTCAACCTAATAATAAAACAAAACTAAAGAATGGTGTGGTATATTCGCAAGATTGTGTACAGTTATGGTGAGTATTAAACTATACCCACATCACGTGACTGATTGAATATTCTTGAATGTAGCTAAATGTGATGATGTCTCAAAAGCAGTTAGCTAAATGTGATGACGTCTCAAAAGTAGTTAGCTAAATGTGATGACGTCTCAAAAGTAGTTAGCTAAATGTGATGATGTCTCAAAAGCAGTTAGCTAAATGTGATAACGTCTCAAAAGTAGTTAGCTAAATGTGGTGACGTCTCAAAAGTAGTTAGCTAGATGTGGCGACGTCTCAAAAGTAGTTAGCTAGATGTGGCGACGTTCAAACATTAGTTAGGTAAATGTGACGACGTCTCAATAATAGTTAGTAATTTGATGACATGCCGATTAAAACTGGTGTCTTGACATTTAGTATGTCTTTTGAAACATGGTTGCGCTTATTCAAACAGTGGTATATTCAATTGCTTAGAGCTATCTGTATCGTGTTAAGCCATATTCCACACAGTGCGCTTTCAGTGAGAACTCATTATGGCACGGTGTTTGTTTGTCAGTGAACGACATCCTCAATCTTTTTTTTTAATATTACCGAGTTCGTTTGAT